TTTTATATAACTGTATAAATTTACAAAAAATAACCATATTTCATGAACTAATACATTGTTCATTTTACAAAATCATAGCTTAGTGCAAAAAAATGTAAAGTCTTTAGATGCAATAATGTTTTCATGTGTAATGGCAAGTAGCAAACAGATTTTGACTGCATTAGTAACTACACAGTTACCTTTAAACAAAAGAAGATGCAGCATAACATCAAATACTCTCAGTTCATCTTGGACTTGAACAGAGACGCTATTATCCTCCACAATGGTGACACAAAAACCGTTTTGCTGTTTTTCTTTCTTTTTTTTCATTTTTAGATTTTAGTGGTTGCCAGTAATCTGCTGTTTATAACATTCATAAATTCAGTTTACAGAATATTTCTGTTAACAACACATTCAACAGTCTGTATTTTTTTATCGATCTCACACTGCAAATTTTAGATTTGGTAGATTTAACTACCTTAGAGTTAAAATTAACACTCCCTCAGTGTTTATATGGGAACCACTATAAGTGTTAAAATAACATTTTTGAAAGTGTTAAAATTTTTAACACCCAGAGTGTTAATTAGCAAACTCTTATTGTGTAAAATATCTGTTAAATGTATGTCAAAATACTAGCAGCAGTGGTTGCCATTAATCTGCTGTTTTCAACATTTTAGATTCGTAAATTCAGTTTCCAGAATATTTCTGTTAAAAACAAATCCCATAGTCTGTATTTTTCATTCGAACACACGTAAGCCTTAAATTCCAGAGCAAAATCCTCACTAGTGTCCTCACTACAGAGGGCTGAACACTTAGACAGTGATGAAGTTAATGAGACAATTAAGTGTCTAATTAAAGGAGGATTGAGAATTGTTGATGAACAACTGTTAACAAGCAGAATCACTGAAGGACAGAAAAACACAAGCCAAAACCAAAGATGAAATCAACTGAGAAAAAAAAACTCTAAATAAAATAGTAATCAATAAAAATAAAACAAATTACACAATAAAAAATGTTATTTTTCAACATCTTTAAAACAACTCATCACATTAAACAACTTATCATGGAGCTTCACCTATTACTGCCTGTGACTTTATTTCTGTCATGTGAACAAAAGCTCTTAATGAAATTTCTGTTGTTCATTTGAAGTCACCATGATGGAGGACAGAGTCTGCTTTAGTCAGCCTCTTCAACTTCTTACTTTAAATGGTTTTTTATTTTGGCTGCTATAGATAGTGTTAATTACTCTATTTAAACATACAGCATGGAAAGCCGAAAGAAAATTAAAGTGTCATTCTGAAGAGATTATTAATGATATCATGGCCATCCTTTCCTGCTTGTTTTTGAATTCAATTTCATATTAGTTGTGTGTGAGAAATAAATGATATACATAAATGAAACCACTGAAGCTCCAATAAAATAAAAACAATATTTACAATGAGAATGTTTGATCTATGGCAGAACTCAAAAACACCCAGACATCAATAATTAGTCTTTGAATCTCAATTATGGTGACAAACAAAAAATAAAAATCAAGTAAAAAAAAAAACACTACTGAAATATCACCTCCCAAAAACAACACAAAATAAAGGAAAAGAAAGAGATTGTAAGAACATAAAGCTGCATAATTTATTCATGCTGCAATGCATGCTGGGAGCTTTGTACTATGCTGGCACCCAGCATGCATTGCGGCATGAACTATGCAGCTTTTTTTTTTTTTTTTTAGCAACCACGGTTGAGGTTTATATCCTGATTCTTGATGCCTGTGTGTCATAAAGAGCAAGCTGGAGCTTGAATGTTAAGTGCATGACACTCTAATTATTAATTGCAACCTAATTGTTTGTTGAATTTTCTATGAAGAGCAGCAGACTGCCAGTAGTATTGTCCCATGCAGCTTTAATACAACTATATTTGCATATTTTTATGAATCAACTTAACAAACACCTGAAATAAAATCTATAACAATTAATCATAAACAGTATAGTTTCTCTTGACCTTTCTTGCTATAGCTGATGAGTTTTAGAAACAAGGCTATAGCAGTCAGAGAAACATTATGGTATAAGAGTAAAGCTTCAAGAGCTCAAATAAGCAGCCTCTGATCTCTATGATGGTGAGGTCAAATGAAATATTTTTAATAAAAAAAATATAACCTCTGTTCATTGTCAAATATTCTTACAGAAATGAAGTCAAACTGTAATCAGTGAAGCTGCTTATGCTATTATTTAATAGAGTTGTTTAATCCTCTGTTTTAATTCAGTTGGTTTGGTGTGAGGCTGTGTCTGTAGTTTTATTTCTTCCTTCAATTTCTTATTCCTTCAGTGATTGTGCTTGTTAACAGCAGGTGTTCAACAGCAGGTGTCTGAATTCACTTATTTGTGGTCATTCACTCTGTCTAGTGGACTAAACTAATTGACCAATTTAAGGGCCAGGTGAATGAGGGTGTGGTGAGATTTCAGACACTCTGATTAGTTTCTCAAATACAAGGGTTTTCTACAAAGGTAGATACATGTTACTCTGTGTGACAAGGAGGCAAATCAGCTTCTAACGCTGAGAGGGTTGTTTTACCTTTATCTAACTCTAGAATTTTAACACTTAACTCTGAATTACCACAACACTTGAAATTTAACAACAATGAATTTGCTGTGTATACAGAACCAAAAATGGTTCTTTCAAACGCTTCATATATGGAACCCCAAAAGATTAAAAATAGAACCATTTAAGGGTTCATTAAATAGATCCCCAAATGGTTCTTTCAAGCGCTTCATATATGGAACCCCAAAAAGGTTATAAATAGAACCATTTAAGGGTTCATTAAATAGAACCCCAAATGGTTCTTTGAATTCAAGTTACATGGTTCTATTTAGAACCATTTGAGGGTTCTTTATTTATTATTGAATAAAAAATAAAACCAATGCAGAAAATTCAAATTGTTTAAATTTATTCAATTTACTTCACAAAATAAGTTTTAAATAATATTTAAAATTGCACCTCTGCGTACTTTGTATAAGATCTACCTCTAAACATTATACATTTTTACTATTTAATTAGTAAACATAATTAACAGCTTAATGGCATTCAACAATCTAATTCTAATGATTTCACTTTTTATTAACATTTGTAAGCTTGCTTACTGATTGAACAAATACAAAACTTAACTTTCAAACATTTCTAAAATGATTAAAAATGTATTACAATGCAGATAGAAACAATACACAAACATCTATTAAATAACACTACAATTTCAACAAGTTCAAGGTACATGTATGTACTGGTCATGGCAACATCCATTTTTATACATAATTTTCAATAAAAGTTATTGAAGAAAGAGCTTAATCGCACACAAAACTTTGCAAAATGATTAAACAAAACACTGAGAACAGCCATTCCACAACCTGTAGCATGTCCATGTTTGCCGGCCTCTCTTATAACGTAAATAGTTTTGTCCATGGGTGGCACAGTGGCTCACTGGTTAGAACTGTCACATCACAGCAAGAAGGTCACTGGTTCGAGTCCTGACTGGGTCAGTTGGTGTTTCTGTGTGAAGTTTGCAAGTTCTCCCAGTGTTTGTGTGGGTTTCCTCTGGGTGCTCCAGTTGCCCCCACAGTCCAAAGGCATGCGTACGGTATTGGTGAATTGGCCATAGTAAGTGAATGTGTGCAGGTGTATGAGAGAGTGTATGGGTGTTTCCCAGTGCTGGGTTGCGGCTGGAAAGTAATTGCTAATTCATTCTACTGTGGTGCCTCTGATAAATGAGGGAGCAGAAGGATAGTGAGCGAGTGTTGGCCATCGTAATGCTGACACTTCAAGCCTTGACGGAATCAGGAGAGCTGTTAGGACCTTTGGATTTCTGTAAAACAATATTTCAATGCTGAGTACTTCCTTCTTTCCTTCCCTTCTATTGGGCCATTTCTTTTAAAGATGTTTCTGTGTCCTTCACTAAGTCCTTATATGCAGCATTCTAAATTAAAACATTTTGTTTACTTTGTGTAAGTGACATTTTCAGCAATACAAGTACTTTAAAGTCATCAAAAATACAGAAATACAGTGTAGACAGCTGTAATATATTTTCTGTTTAATCTGCATCTCATTTGTTACAGAATTTAATGAAATTGACATTTCTGAGTGACCTCAATTTAGTATGAACATTAAATAAAACAATAAAATTAGAATAAGAACAAAACAAAATAATTGTTTATCAAATAACATACATCATATTTGGCAGATACTTTTATCCAAAGGGACGTAGATTGTGTTTATTCTATACATTTATTAATATGTGAGACCTGGAACACATTTGGCATTGCTAATGCATTGCTTTACCAAATGAGCTTTAAAATGTCATATACACAGATTTTTCATATCTATTTGGCACACAATGTAACAGTGTTTGGTTACTCACAAGCTGTGGTACTCCAAGAAGAAGAAACTGCTCCATTAGTTTTGCAGACCCCTCCATAATCTGTACTCTGGAAAATAGTGTGTTTCATTTGGTTCTTGACTTATTCGTAAACAATGTCGCATTCTAGGTCCATCACAATCTGAGGTAGGAAGACAGCATTTGTAGAGTGTGTAAATATGAATTTAAATCACAGAATTAATCTTGACATTAAATGTATTGAAATGAACTTGCCTTGTGTTAAGTCCCTCAGAGTCCAGTTCACTTCCTTTTGATCCCATCATATGAGCTCACCACTGAAATCCTTTCATTTTTACATTTGTTTTGAAGACATTGCAACAAGGAATCCTGTAGGCAAATTTACACCTTTCAATACATATTTCTTCTCTGCAGGACTTTTTTTAGGCAACGACCTTAATATTCTCACTGTATTAAAACAGCAGTAGTAAGTAATAGAATATTTTTTGTGATAAATATATTTTTTCAGTACACAACAACCAACAAGTGTGAATTATGCATGTTATAAAATACAATACTTTACTAGGTGTGCTTGAAGATGATGTCAAACAATTATGGATGTGACACATGTTTTTCTTTAAGCTGGGATCCTTCTTCTTCAAAGCTGCTTGTGTGCAGCAGATCAAATTTGGAAACTTAATATGGGTCCCATGACACTTTTCTGTAATGATAAATACAATCTTGAAGTCTTTTATAATATTTATTTCATTTTACTGACCACAATACAGTTTGTTTGGATTTTAAAACAATGATACATACCAAGCACAAGTTTTATGAAGCAGTTCAGTTTCCAGGCTGTTTGAAGAAAAATAAAATATACATTAAAATATTTATTTTAAACTTATTTTGCACTTTATATATATATATATATATATATATATATATATATATATATATATATATATATATATATATATATATATAAAAAAAAAAATAAAAATTTTATTTTTTTTTTATATTTATGTACATATAAACATCACGTTTATACCTTTAAGGGATGGGTCTCAAACTCTCTAAAGCTCTGCACAGATGTGCTCCACACCTAGTCAAACACAGATGATGCAACTAATCAAGGTGTTCGAGACTAAACAACTTGGTTATTTAGATCAGCTGTGTTTGATCCGGGTTGGAACAAAACTGTGCCGAGCTGCGGCCCTCTAGGAATCAAGTTTGAGAGCCATGTTTTAAAGGTATTGTATGTGCATTTGCATTTTTTAGGTATTAATATGTACCCTTAAGGAGCTGTTACGTACAAAAAAATGTACCTTTAGAAAAGGTACCGTCCCCGTGACAAAGAGTGTACTGGCATCCTCACTATTTAG